TATATATATATATATATATATATATGAGCTCAAGTTGTTTATTTCGTCGCCATTCTGTTGCATATACCGGGCCCCTGGCAGCAGCAACTCCCGTACACCTCAGTCCATACATTCAACCAAGCTGAACATCTCATCTCGCTAAGGTAGCTACGGCCTTGCTGAGGCTGCTACGATCTGCAACTCTGTACGCCGTCATAGTTGATAGCAACAGCAAGCAGTGTATCAGCTACCGCAGCAGTTAAAACAGCAAACAATGCAGCGGCGAAAGTCGCAGCTACAGCAGCAGCTGCAACAACAACTACAGCAACAACGGCCTCAGCTACAGGACCTGGAGCAGCAACAGATGCGGCCTGCCCTGAAAAGCACACCCTAAGAAGATAAAGGGAAACGTTCTGGATTCTGTTAAACACTCCAACACAAACAGTTCGCCGCCTCCAGTCACACAGCGACGCACTAGGCAGCGGCACCCATCCCGCCCAGCACAGCCCCTGCAGCCATTGCCTGGTGGCTCGCGGCTTCACAGCCTCAACCCAACTCAGACACGGGTAATGTTCATGATTAAGCAAGCATCTGCATCTTGTGCAGATGCAGCAGGAGGCCCCGGAACCTCCAAGCGCCCCTGCAAAGCCTACAGGGGCCCCTGGGGACCCAGCCTGCCTTCTGTTGCGGGTTGAAGACGAAGTGCAACTTGGAGTGGCAACGGCAACTGGCGAGTGCCGCTGCCGCTCGACACGGCGGCGAAAGGGCAAATCCCACTATCCTGAGCTGCGCTGTAGCTGGTGAGAGTTGATGACTACTGAAGCAACAGAGCTGCAAGGGTGCTGTGGCAGCAGGAATGCAGCAGCACCCGCGCTGCAGGGAAGGTTCAGCAGCAGTAGCTGGATTACAGCGGGCGGATTGCAGCAAGTGGTGTTAAGTGAGTCGAAGTTGGTAATCTCCATTCTGTGTGATATACCGCACCCATGGCAGCGCTTGATATCCGCTTTTTTCGATGATTTTGAGGTATCTAACAGTGATGCCTGATACGGTGAAGTACGGGATTTCAAAAAGAACTTGAATCGGGCGTTTCATGAAGTTTTTTCTGGACTCATCTTCAACAGACGGAAGAGAAAAGGAGGCGGTCATGCTGTATTCTCTTTGTCCCTGAAAGTGTCGAATACTCCACACCAGACAGTCAAGATCAGGCACGTACTTGGCGCTGCCTATGTTCGTCTTGAAGTGCCCGGCGCCCGCATCTGCAGGCACAGGAATTCGTATTTCAACGCCTCCCGCAACGGATCTGGGTTTGAATTGGCTTCTGGCGCGCACAAGGTACTCCAGACGGCTGCCTGAAGTGCCACTATCCACCTGACAGTCCACCCAGATAAGCGGCTTAACCTGAGTGTGCAGGCGGTACGACATCAACTCGCACTCGCCGTCAGGAGGAATGAAAGAAATGGTTCTGTCGTTCTCAAAGCGTGCAAGACGAACGCATTGATGAAATTTCACATCTTCCATTTCAATAGCACGCCCTCGACCTGTTGATTTCCCGCTGCTTTCCAGCACCAGCTTGTCGTTCAGCCCGAGCTTCAGCTCTGGCATGCCCGAGAGGAAAGACTTCATTTTCAGTGATCCGAGGATTTCGGAACGTAAAACATTTCCATTTGCAGCCACCAGCAGATCCAACTTCTCCACAACGTCCAGGAATATCTCATTCTTCTTGTGAACAATACCCTCAGAGCGCCACGATACAGCGTTCGTCATTGCTGTAGGCGGCCTCACCGCAGCGGTAGACAACTGATGCGCCTGGTTCTTGATGAATTCGCTTAACACCTTAACCTCTGTAGTCTGGGGGTATCCATTGTCTACCATTTCATCGAGAAGTTCATAGGTAATGACGAAGTTGTCACGAAGACTTTCTTCCGCCAGTTCATGAAAATAACTCGTCAGCACAGCGCCCAGCTTGTGCAGAAATGCCAGCAACATCGTCGCATTTGCATTTCGGCGCGTTAGTGCCAGAAGATAAATGTTTTTCAGCTTCACCCAGCAGTAGGTGACCCCTTCGTCTTCAAATACGGGGGTAACAGCTGCCTCATCTTGTTCAATAACACGACATGCGAACCTCTCACTAACAGCAAGCGAAACATCGCCCCGGTAGTCACGGCCTATTATAACCTTCCCTCGTCCGTCCAGCAACAGCACGGCGCTGGCGCCCGCCATCGTTGAAGTGGGAAATGGGTGAACAGCTGACGGAACGACAGAAGACACCCGCAGCTGCAGATTCAACTTAGGCACCAGGGAGGCACCCGTGCACGGATGAGACCCCTTCGTCGCCTCGTTCAATATGCTCTTCTCTTCAAAACGCCCTCATACGCGAAAAGATACAGCAGGTGTTGTTGTGATTTGTCATTCACCTGTTGCAGCTGCGGGAGCGGCAACAAGTAGAAGAGCGCCGAGCAGCAGTGGAAAGCTGCAACAAATCAAGTGACCGCGGGAGTCCCCATGAGGTTTCTGAGAAGCGGTGAGTTTTATAGGTTCTCTTATTGAATTACACTTTTTATTTGATGAAGATCGGACGGCTTTCGCTGCTCAACAACCGCCAACAAAAGCCCCGTGCCGCCGTTGCCGACGACTGGGCTGCAGCAGCAAGCACGATGACGCATGCGGCGCAGCTGTTTGGTGTTTGNATGCAAACAGGCAGGAATGTGCGTGCAAATGCTCTCAAGACGAGTACACTCCTCCACGCCCGACTCTATGGGCGGCAACAGGACTCCCACAATGCAGCTCGGCCTGTAACTTTCAGAGAAAATTTCGAGTTGATAAATATTAAGTGAAAGGAATGCATGCAAAAGAGAACCAAATTTTTCTTTCAGAAAGAATATATAAATCAACTGAATTTGTGTGCAAAATAGTTGGGCAACCCTTTATAGTGAAAATTTCACGTGTACGTTTTTATAAGAGAATCGAAAAACTTATGCAAAGAATTAAACAAAACAGCTTCTTCATAATGAATCTGCAAACCATAGTTTTGTATTTACAAAGGAAAATAATTTAGTTTGTATATATTTCACATCTTACTTCCATTACGGTAATTGAAAAGAGGAATGCTGCACACGGCATAACGAAATGCGCTCGAGTTTAGTTCACAATCAAAACCTCTTCTTAGTTTGCTTTCATCTTTCTTTAGCTTATTCTTCTTTGTTTGCCCTCGTCTTTGTTTAGTATTGTCCCGGCGTGCTCTTTTCAGTCTCCAGTTTCTTCTTAGATTGATTTACTTTTTCTCTCCTGTACGCCCTCCCACCTAGTTGTTCTCACTATTATTACTTTTGTTGTTATTATCATTCTTATTACTGTTATTCTCGTTGTTATACTTATTGTAACCGAAGACCTCAGATTTGTGATTTGCACCCCGCTGTGCGCTAACTCCTTTTTTAGCTGAATCCCATATTTGTGCACTTCTTGCCATATAATATAAATACCTTGAATATAAAAAATGAATAAAGTCCTTGTAAACTTATATATGCATGTATAAATATATATATATATATATATATATATATATATATATATATATATATATATATATATATATATGTATACATATGTGCGTATAGTTATATGTTCATATATAGTATATGAAGGACATATAACATATTTACAACAGAGAGAGATATTTGCTATATTCACACTATGAAAAATCTCCTTCATCGGATCAATGCCATTTTATTTTGCGGTGTCGTCACGCTTATACTTTGAAGCCGCTGATGCGGTTGTTCAGAAACACAGTGGAGCTTGAAGTGCTGTTGTTTACGATTGAGGGTTGGTTAAGCCTATTCGTGTGTCTATGCACAATCAGCCTGTATATATTTACTCTTTTTCATTTACCTTAATGCCTCGTGAACGCTGCTGCATTGGAGGGGGCACTGGGGAAACTTATCATCTCCAGTGTACGTGGATATTTGTGTCAGTGCCTTGTTAATATCTAATACATTATATTATATTACATAGTTTTATTTCGTATTCCATTATAGCCGAGATAGAATATACTAAGATACATTATGTTATACTCTATTGCGATATGTTACACTATATTATATTATCCAATACTACAATATATTTTAATGCGTTAGCCAACCAGTACTATGCCACAAACTTAACAAAAAACAGCTGCAGCGGTTTCTGTTATATCATATATCTGTACGCTGCCTGCGTTCTGGCATTTCTGGTGTATCTCCAGTTAAGCGTAACCACAATAGCAGAGCTGTCATCATTTCCCTTCATTTCTGTTTCTCTTCTAATGCAATCTCAGCGCTGTACGTACACTCCACCTCCTTTAGGCTTCCTTCAATCCTTTACTTTCACACTTTCTGCAGAATGAATGGAGATAAAGCCACCATGAAACATGAAACAACCAGCAGGGGGGTTACTATAGCAGGATAGCCGCGCCCCCCCTCATAGCTCCAGCGCAACCCGGTTGCCAGTGTGCAGCAGCAGCAGCAGCAGCAGCACTGGGTTTAAACTGAGTAGTACGTAGGAGCGGCAGGGGAGAAGTGGAGCTGAAACTAAAGTGACTGAAATGAAGATCTAATGCGCACTGTGAAAAGTTCAAAAGATGCAGTGTTTGTTGCAACTCTTAGTGGTGGTGTGTACAGACACGACCGGCGAGAGAGAAGAAGAAAGTGAATGTTTAGAGAACAAGTCCTTGGGCATATGAATTCAAAAGAGGTAAAAGCAGCTGCAGATCAGAAACCCACCAGAAGGGTTTGAACTTGAAGGACGAAATAAACATAAACGTATACACACAGTTGTTGCGCAAGCGAATATGATGTAAAAACACAAATGCAGCATAAATAATTTGTCCGCGTATGTACGCCAAACTCAAAGGCTTCATGAACTAAGCAATCAGTTCTTTTCTGAGTTTCACAGACTTTTCTATTAACGAGAGGGGCATCCGCAGCTGCACATAGCTTCTCTTTCCCTCCATGTATATGTACGTATGTAGTCTATACAACTCACATATCTCTATACAGAGATATATGTAGATATGTGGGGTGTATATATATACATTCATACATACACACACACAAATATATATATAAAGATATATGTAGGTATGCTAGGTGTATACACATACTGGCGCAGCAGCTGGTGGCATCCTCTATGCAAGACCGCGAGAATTAGATACAAACAAAGACAGAACTGTATATATTCCACCTAAATGAATTGTTTAGTTTTCATTCAAACATTTCTTATGTTTGCGAACAGTAAAAATAATAAATATACCACTGACCCTCCCCCCAGCTTACCCTTCAACATGAATCAAGGGAAGCTTTGTGCNAAAATAATAAATATACCACTGACCCTCCCCCCAGCTTACCCTTCAACATGAATCAAGGGAAGCTTTGTGCGTTTCTTTGCATGCAGTGAGGAGCTCCGATGAAAATAGAAGGAAACATATCTCTTCGATTTATATTTTAAAGCACTAACATCCGAAGATAAGTGCATTTATTCGTGAAGAAGTGTTTTTATGCTACACACCTACACATTTTGTACGGGGCCCCACTGCGGCGGCTGGCTTGGATGTTGCCAGCAACCGCCTACACAATCTATCTTTTTTTCTTTCATTTTCTGTATTTAATTCAGTTTGAATTGTTTTTCTTTTTTTTCAGTTAGTTATTGAGTGAACTCTGCGGCCGCAGAGGCAATTTCGCAGCGTCTTCTGGCGGCGGGATGGCGGAGTTCGACTGTAGTTTGTTAGTTGCAAAAGAGAGGCTGTAGTGGTGTGAACCACTGGTCTGATTATTTTAGGTATTTCAAAACAATGGAGATGTTCCGTTTGTGAATATCTCATTTTGCTGCAGACGACGGCTGTATCTCCTCTGCCCGTGCTCCCGTAACCGGGTTTATGTTTCAGGGGTTGACGAGGAGTGCACGATCGTCGAGGGTTAGAACAATCAAATTAAACAAGTAAAGAAAGAAAGAAAAGAAGAAATGAACGGCTTCTGCTTTCTCTGCTTTCTGTTTTCTTCTCTCTGCTTCCCCCGCAATGAGGCGGCTGCATTTGAAACACAGTGGCTGCGACGGCTACGCATGGAGGAAAATGCTTCAGAAGTTTCGTCAGATGAAATGCTTTTGAATAACAATGAAGAAGAAGAAGATGTTGTTTTTTTGAGCACTCCATCGAACCATATCGAGCCCTCTTCTACCGAAGGTGACCTGCATATACCCCTTTTGCAGAACCGGAGGCAGCCAACGTTGCAACCAAAAGAAAAACAACAACCCCACCACCCCCAGAAACAACAACAACAAGAAGAACAAGTCCAGCCAGAGGAGAAAGAACAACCCAGTCACCACAAAAAGGAACAAACGCATCAGCAGCACAAGCAACAGCAACCCCACCACCACAAGCAACAACAACCCGACCACGAAGAACAACAACCACCACACCCACAAAAGCAGAAACAGACCCACCGCCGCAAACAAAAGCAACAGGGTCACCGCGGCGTTGCGCCTGTGCAGCAGGCAGAATGGAGTGAAGACGAAGATGCTGAAGGACTAGGAGTTGAATCTTTGAGCTGGAGAAAGCAGAGTGGATCTGATTTCTTTAGAACAGTTGAAAAACTTATACAGAAACCAACACTAGATAAAATTCTTCTTATTTCAACAATATTTGCTGCTTCTTTCATCTTTACTAAACCCCTACTGCATCTCGCTCATCTTCTCTTCACCTGCTGGTTGGCTATCAAAGCGCTTTCCCTCATTGAATAGAACAATGGCCACACTCCGCCCCATACATGTTTATATTTCTTAAACTCAGTCTCAAGAAGGCAGCGTAAACCCTAAACCCTAGGTCTTTACAATAGACAGCTTTCTTCTACTAGGCTTGAAGATGCTACCCGTGTATATATATTTATAGATGCGTCATGCACGTGTTGCATGTGTATTTATGCATGCTATATGCATGTATATACATATATATATATATATATATATATATATATATATATATATATATATATATATATATATATGTATATGTACTCCCCGTTATGCGCATACGAAGGTGTACGAAACCCGGTTGCTCGTTTGCAGCTGCGTTTCTTTGTTTTGCGTTTATTGCCCAGTGCAGTAATACAGGAAATGTGTTTTTAAAGAAAAGAAACAATTTTTTATAACTCACTGAATTTAATTGCGTCTCACAATCGAGATAGTTAGCCTGAGACAGTAACAGCTGAGCCGGGGCCGCGTGCTCTGCTGCTGTAGTCGCTGCTGTTGCTGTCGCTGCTGCTCCTGTTTCCTGTTGCTATTGCTGCTATTCTAAATATTTTTTAGCTTATTTCAGGGTATTTCTCTCAGACAGCAGCTGCTGCTGCTCAGGCCTCTGATGCCTTCTCTGCTTTCGCCTCAACCCCAGGCTCTGCATTGCTGACACTGCTTCCCTTGTGTTTGCTAGGCGAGTAGAATACAGTAGTTATGCAGCCACAGGTCAAAAAAGTTTAACAATAACCACTGTATTTACACCTGTGGTACATGCAATATATATATATATATATATATATATATATATATATATATATATATATATATATATATATTCCCATTGTCCACTTGATGCACTAGCGAGCCCCGCCTCAGCCACCTCTCATTTTGTTTGTAGCGAACATCTGGCTAGTTGCTAATGCTACTGCAAAAGCCTCTATTTAATGCATTATAAATGCTGTATATACTATACATAGTGGATGTATTGATAAGTATATATACTATTAAAAAGTGAATGTATTGATAAATATTGAGTACATACTAAATGCTGTACACTCTACATATATCATAGTTTATAAATAGCCATGGGGCCCGCATAGAGGAGCCTCTGTACTCTGAGGTATAAGGGTGCGACGCAACCACCTTTTTCATGTTATTACTTCTGTTTTGAACATGAAACATCTACTAGTCAGAAAGCAGAAAAAAGCAAGCACCAACGGGGGCCTAAAGAGGAGAAAAGCTGACTGGGTGAACCTCTAGAAAACTGTTTCCTACTGTATGTGGAATACTAAACGCCTCAAAAAGAGGAAAAGAAGAGGAAAATCACAGCGAGTTCGCCCGAGTTGCAAACAAACCATCGCCGCAGCTTCAGGGCGTCTACGCTGGGCGTGACAGGCTGGATTTGTGCGTGTCTACGAGTTTTGTGAAAACGGTGATTGATAACACCTTCTCGAGGTGGAAATGTAATATATTTAAACGCAAATCTCTTCAGCTTTCTTCAGCTGACGGCGGCGCTGTCGCTGTCGCTGCAGCTGTCCAACGAACACTGCATGCATACGAGCCCATGCAAGCCAGTCTTGGGGGCATCTGGGGCTTTCTGTTCATGCCATTTTGGCTGTTTATCATTAAAACGCATGCATTAGACTTATACCTTTCTTTTGAGGGGCCTCACGCCTACCATAACGCCTCTATTGAGAGCCCGTTTCTCGAGTAGTACGGCCCGGCCGTAGTACTGGATTGTCTAGACGGCCACGGCTGGTAACCGGTCCTTCTTTTGCGTTTCTTCAGCTCCTCTGCGTGCAGTTTCACAATACAAAACAAATCGAAACTTGCAGCTGCAGAGCGCCCCCAGTCTGCCCAGGTTTCCTCCCCAGCGGCTTCCTCGGCATCCGCTTGGGTTGTATGCACAGCGCATTTGTTTCGCCGGTTCGAAGCGTCAACGCGGTGTTCCCCTGTTTTCATATTAATTAAAGAAGAGCTTTTGCTGTTACGAGCCGCTGAAAGCTGATATTTAGTATTCGTTTACTGCGGAAACCCCCTCCGGCGGACTGCAAGCCCGAAGGAGTTCAGCTCCTGCTGCCGCTGCTGTTTCAGAGAAGATTTTTGGTGGTGTTATATAGCTCTGTCACGCTGGAGGTGCACCAGCTCATGCAGCGCCTGCTGCAGCTGCAGTTCGCAGCAGCAGCCGCTGCTGCAGCGGCTGCAGCAGCAGTCTAGTCTTCACATCGGATTACTACCATCAGCAGCATCTTTTGAGCGGAGCACTATCGAGACAGTTGTCTGCTTCTGTTTGGTCCGCGAGAAGCGCCGCGGCTGCTGTTGCTGCTGCTGCTGCGCTGCAGCGCGAGGCATTCAAATGACCTTCGGCACCTGTGAGTAACGCAGCAGCAACGGCAGCCAGGGCATCGGCTGCTGCTGCAAAGGATTTGACGACAGCAAAGCACCAGTTGCGTGCTTTGGAAAATGAAACTCACGCAACAGAACATGCTGGTGCCGCAGCAGCCGCTGCCTCAGCAGCCGCTGCAGCAGCAGCCACTGCAGCAGCAGCAGCCCCTGCAGCAGCAGCCACTGCAGCAGCAGCAGCCTCTGCAGCAGCAGGCACTGCAGCAGCAGCAGCCACTGCAGCAGCAGCAGCCTCTGCAGCAGCAGCCGCTGCAGCAGCAGCAGCAGCCCACGCAACACTGGCCCGAAAACCCAGAGGCCCCCCCAATGCAGCAGCAGCTGCAGCAGCAGCTACAGCAGCTGCCTGTTCAGCCGCAGCAGATGAACGGGGGTCAGCTGACGTATCCTTTGCAGGGACAAATGAGAGATCTGGCGCAGCTCACGGCAACACCAGCAGCAACTGCAGCAGCAGCTGCTGCTGCTGCCGCTGCTGCTGCTGCTGCCCCCCCACCGCTTGCTCCGAACCCTACACAGCAGCTGCTTGCCCAGCAGCAGCAACAGCAGCATCAGCTTTTTGCGCAGCGTGGTTTGCTGCAGCATTTGCAGCAGCAGCAGCTGCAGAAGCAGCAACTGCAGCCGCAGCTGCCGGTGGGTATGATGAAGGCGCCGCAGTTGATGCAACAGCAGCAGCATGTGCGGCAGCAGCGTTTACAGCTTCAGCAGCTGCAGCAGCTGCAGCAGCAGCAGCTGCAGCAGCAGCAGCTGCAGCTGCTGCGCACCCCCGAATCTCCTGGGTTATACAGCGCCTTCTGCCGTCTGCTGCATCAGCTGTCGCTGCACCGGCTGTCGCTGCGCGACGCCCGGGTGCGGGTGCTGCTGGTTGTGCTGCGTTGGCTGCAGCAGCAGCAGCAGCAGCAGGCCGACCCATCACGTCTGTTCAAGGGGGATCAGCTCGATCGCCTCGTGCGGCAGACACGGGCCTACATGCGTTTGCTGCTGCAGCAGCAGCCGCTGAAGGAGGAGGAGCTGCTGCAGCTGGGGATATCTCCTGCCCTTGGCTTTAAACCCAATCATGAATTTATTGCTGCTGTTGCTGCAGCAGCAGAAGGAGCAGCAGGCTACAAACCCCCCGCACCCAAGGAGCAGCAGCAGCAGCAGAGACCTAGGAGCCACCAGCTGTTCGTTCAGCTGTATGAGGAGCAGCTGCAGCAGCAGCAGCAGCAGGCTGTCGAGGCTCTGGAGCAGCAGGCGCAAAAGTATGAAGAGCTGGCACGTCTGCGGATGGAGAGGGAGGAGCAGCAGCAGCAAGAAGAGCAGCAGCAGCAAGAGGAACTGCAGCAGCAAGACGAACTGCAGCAGCAAGAGGAAAAACACCAGCACCTGCAGCAGGAGGAACAGTCAGAGCAGCAGCAACAGCAGCAGCAGGAGTCAATGCATGTCGACACTGCTGCAGACGCCGCTCCTAGCACACCAGAGCAGCAGCAAGAGCAACAGCAGCAGCAGCAGCAGCAGCAACAGCAGCAGCAGCCTGACCCTGCAGTCTGCACAGATGACAATGGTGCCAAGAGGGAAGACGGCTCTGCTGCCGCTGGCGATCCACGCAACAGCAGCAGCAGCAGCAGCAGCAGCAGCACGAATGAGGTAGAAGTTGAAGTTGTACAAGGAACAGCAGCAGCAGAAGCAGCAGCAGCAGAAGCAGCAGCAGCAGCAGCAGCAGCAGCAGAAGCAGCAGCAGAAGATGTCTCAGGAGAGACAAGCGAGTCTGATAGTTCTTCTTCTTCCTGCGATGAGTGGTGGGGTGTTGGGGGCCTGCAGCGGCCAGCAGATGACGGCAGCAGCAGCAGCATGCAGGAGAGGGCGCGCGTGAGCCGGCTGCAGCGGCGGCTGCTGCTGCTGGCTCCGCTGCAGAAGCAAATAAGAGAAGAGGTGCTGCTGCAGCGGATGACTGAGGGCCCCGGCCAGCTGCCCCCGCTGCAGCACCTGCCTGTGCGGCTAGCGAGGAAGCATAGGGCTCTACGGTTGCTGCGTGAGAGAGGAGATAGATTGACAGCAGCACGACAGCAGCAGCAGCAGCAGCGGCAGCAGATGCTGCAGCAACTGCTTGATAGCCACAGACGAACATTCCTGCAGCAGCATCGAGATGCATTGAGACAGCTCAGAAGAGTTGCTGCTGCTGTTAAGAGAAAAAAAACTGCAGCAGCAGACGGAACAGAGGGGGCAGCTAGCTGCGGCCACCCGCTGCACCCCACGGACTGCGGCTGTCCTGGTGCTGCTGCTGTTGCAGCACAAATGAGAAAAGAGAGGCTCGATGCATTGAGGGTCAGACACTGCTGCTGCTGCTGTTGCTGCTGCTGCTGTTGCTGCTGCTGCTGTTGTTGTTGCTGCTGCTGCTGCTGTTGTTGTTGTTGCTGCTGTTGCTTTTGCCGTTGAGGATGCTGCTGCTTGCTGTTGCTGCTGCGGTTCATGCTATGGATTGTGATGCACTGGATGCTGGCGCAGTGCATATCTATTTTTGGCTATTGGGAGTTGCTGCTGCAGTTGCTGCTGCAGTTGCTGCTGCAGTTGCTGCTGCTGCAGTTGCTGCTGCTGCAGCTGCTGGAGCTTGGGTCATCTGAGGCAGTGTCTCGGAATCTTCCTTCGTGTAGTTAGTTTTGGCTGCTGCTGGTGCTGCTACAATTACTGTTGCTGCTGCTGCTGCTGCTGCTGCTGCTGTTGTGTATACAGAAGCACGACGAAGCGGGATACCTGAAGCTGCTGCAGGAGACAAAGAACGAGCGGCTGCTGCAGCTGGTGCGGCAGACGGAGAGATATATGCAGCAGATCGGCAGCCTTGTGGTGGAGCAACGCGAAAGAGAAGGAATCATTGTACCCGCTGTAAGCGCAACACACACACATAGCAACCCATGCATGCATGCATGCATGCATACTCATCTACATATATTTATATATAAATAATATATATATATATATATATATATATANATATATATATATATATATATATATATACTATGTATGCATGCATGGATGCATGCATGCAGCAGCCTTTGTTTTGTTGATATGGGGGGAAAATAAATCAGCAGGCCAGCGGCTGTTACTGTGTACTCAATACCCCGCAACTGCAGCTGCTACCACTTCGTTCTTATTCCTGCTGCTGCTGCTGCTGCTGCTGCTGCTGCTGCTGTGGTGTACAGACAGAGGAGGAGGCAGACGGTGCAGCAGAAGAGGCTTCTGGTTCTCTTTCTTCTTCATTTTTGTTTTCTAAGGAAAGATATTACCGCATCACCCACAGCCAACGGGTACTGCTGCTGCATGCACCCCACGCAGCTCCCTATACACCCCGCTCCTTTTGTTTAGTTTATTTGTACTTTCTCCTCCCTTTATATTTTTTATTCTTTATTTTTTATATCGCTAGACGCAAACACACAGCACACTGCTAGCTGCCTGTACACCCCACGCTGCCTATACACCCCAACAACGCAGCAGCATCTGAGCCCACCGAACAACCCGCGAGAATGAGAGTTTCTTCTAGCGCTAACCAGCGCTGT